TCAAGAGTCCTTTGAAGTGATCCGCCCATTGTTTAATCTGTTTTTCTTCCTTGGTAATTGGGTTCCCTTGGCTGTCTTTTATAGGTTTCGCTTGTGTTGGTCTCTTCCCGGATAGAGATTTGGTTATCTGATATAGTGTCCTCAGGTCCCTTTTGCCTGCTGCCTTCTCAGCTTCAGTGGCGGGTTGTCGTAGAATCGTCTTTTGTCCTTCCTAGCACTCTTCTTCACTTCTTTGTCCAGTGCTGTGTAAGTTGAGCTCAGCGTCTCCTTCTCCTGTCCGTCCTTGCATTGAATCATTTTCTCTTTCACCATTCTCCTCTCTTCTATTAATTTCCAAGTGTCCGTTGAGAGCCATTCCTTGTCTTGTCTCTTCTTTCTTCCTAGAACCGTTGAACACGTTTCGTTGAGAATCGCCTTCAGAGACTTCCAATGTTCTTCCACGCATGATTCTTCAGTGATGTCGCGTAGTGTTTCCTGCTTTGCTCTGACAGTTGCAGTGAAAGTGTCTTTTGTGGTTGTGTCCTTCAGTAATTGAGTGTTGAACTTGCATTGTGGCCTATCCCCAGCTATCCTCGAGGCTTTTAGTTTCACCTTGAAAGTCCCTTCTACTAGATAGTGGTCTGAACCCACATCTGCTCCTCTCCTTGACCTTGTGTCCAGTAGGCTCCGTCTCCACTTTCTTGAAATTGAGATGAAGTCTATTTGGTTCTTGGTGTTTCCATCTGGTGAAATCCATGTCGTCTTGTGTATATCCTTGTGTTTGAACACACTACCGCCAATCACCAAATCATTGAAGGCGCAGAAGTCTGAGAAGAGTTCACCATTGTCGTTCATTTCGCCGAGGGCCTCACGACCCATGGTGAGTTCTCTTCCTGTGTTGTCTCCTCCCAGCTTCGCATTCATGTCGCCCATCAGGATTTTGATATCGCCATTTGGGACGTTGTCCATTATTGCTTGTAGTTGTCTGTAGAACGCCTCCTTCTTCTCTTGTTCTGAGACGTTTGTAGGCGCATAGCATTGAATGACTGTAACTTTCCTTCCTTTTGAGTTGAACCTGGCTGTCATTATCCTGGAGGAGATTGGTTCCCACTGCATGAGAGCTTTGGTTGCTGTTGGTGACATCATGATGGCCACTCCCTCGGTGTGCTCATGGTTGTCCTCTGGGTGGCCGGAAAAGATTACTGTCTCTCCAGTAGGTAGTTGGCACCTTCCAGTTCCGTTCCATCTGCTCTCGCAGATTCCCAACACTTCTATTCTGTACCTTCTCATTTCAGCGGCTATCTGGGCAGCCTTTCCAGTTTCGTACATTGTACGAACATTCCAGGTACCCATCCTTACTTTTGCTTTCATCGAAAGAAGGCACATCGGCTGACTGGCTTCCCGAAGGCTTTCACCAGCCTGCGTCATTTCACTTCCCCGATTCCAGCGAAAAGTAAGGCTATTGCTTATGTTTTTAGAATTTTTAATATATTTATTCGTTGAAGTTTCTGTAGCGATTTGGTTGTTTTACAGGGGTGGAGTTGCTAGCACCACGCCCCAATCCTTCCTCTTTACCCGGGCTTGGGACCGGCTAGAAAACTAGTAAGCTAGTAGCCTAGCAAGCTAGTATCTGGCGAGGTTACTATTATCAATTATTATTATTATCAATCACTATTATCAATTTCATATGCTCCTTTTGTATATTTTTCACACTTGTTAAATTGACACTCTAATAACTTTATGCTCACTCAAGAGCAATTTCAACCTTTCTAACTTCTATCTTTTTTCCGTCGAGTACCATGTAATTTACAATTTTTAACTTTCACTTCTAAAGCCACTTATGACTAATTACACCAATTATGTCACCCCCCCCCTATTACTCAATAATAGACCATTATACATTTTTCTAGGTATAAATACGACTATACAGCCTCTGAAGACGATTTCGTCGATAAAGAAAATTTTCTTCGCTGAATCTGTCTTTTATTTTCTTCATGACTCAATGGGTATTTTCCGTGATTTAATTTGATTGACAAATTGAAATGAATCAGAGACTATATGTGTTCCGAAACGTTTCAGTAAGGGTTGCAACAGTACACATAGCCACTGTGCTAATCTGTGGTATGGTGAGTTTATCATAGATGGCATGGGTCTTAACGGCGCTCGTGGTTTGTTTATTTTTACGCGTCCGTATAGTTTTGGGATTTGTGACCCAATCGGTTTGATATTTTTATGTGTTTTCGTCGATGTATTTATTTTTGAGTTGTCGTAGATGCTGCACGATTTTCCCTTCGGTTGATTACATTTGGTCTTTTGCATGGTTATCCAATTTGAATTTAGATTCATCAGAGAGAATTTGATGCATTTTTTCGAGATAATCTATCTTGTTCATTAGCACTACACTTCGTCCTTGATCATCTTGTAAGATAACAAGATTTTTGTCTTTTCGGAGACTGTTTAAAAATCTCCAGTGTTCTTTGGTGAAATGCGACTTTTGATTGGTCGGCATGACTCGAAATTGATGAGCAATATCCACCATCTTTGCTTTCAACCAGCTTTCGCTGTCACTTGACGTGGCATGTAATCCCATAAGTTGATCATAAAGATTTTCGAATTGGCATTCGATATCAATTTGCTTTATCTTTTTCATGGGAACACAGAATTTGAATCCCAATGACAGAACTTCTGCTTGTTCTTTTGATAGGGAAACATCAGATAAATTATGAACATAATTAGATATATCCACTGGAAAAATTTCATTTGGCGGTTCCGGATGAAGTGACTTCTTCAGTTTCTTTTCTTCTGATTCTTTTGTCTTTTTAGATGTGGCATGCACATATTTAGTGAATTTAATATAACATACGAAGTTTAAGTCATTTTGTACACTGATCAGTTTGCTTGATAATACGCATAAATTACTGATTTCATCTGTTTCAGAACACAAATGTGATTCGGCAAGACGGTAAAGATTTGGCCGTGTAGGTCTCAAATGATCTTTACGCAAGGATTTGTAAAATGTTTGAGGATAAATATTATTCTGGATACATTCCTTCACAAAGTCTCGTCGTGCAGAGTGTTTAGCAATGCTGCACTTCAATTTCACTAGATCATTTAGTGCATTAATAGTGCTTTTCGGGAGACGCTCCTTCAAGAATTGAAAACATTTATTTCCCGATACGAATTTAAAACAAGCAGTCAAGATTAATAGAGCAGGATTTAATGAATTCATCAGATTTCGGTAGAACTCGTTCTACGATCAAATCTTTACCGTCTTGCTGAATCACATTTGTGTTCTGAAACAGATGAAATCAGTAATTTATGCGTATTATCAAGCAAACTGATCAGTGTACAAAATGTCTTAAACTTCATATGTTATCTTAAATTTTGGGTTCACTCTGACTACAGTTGTAGAACATGAAATCTTCGGAATTCCAAAGCAGCCGAACTTTGACATTCGGTATCACATTTTTGATTTTCATTTGAGTAAAATACACAATAGACCTAATGTCAGTAAAAAGTCTGAGGATTGTGGAATAATTTTTAAGCATTGATTTTGTAGGGATTTTGTTTGATTGATCCTGGGTATGAAGTGCGTCTGGCGGGGACTGCACCCCGGACCAAATGCGTGGCCGACGAGCATTTTACCAGTGTACAACTGACTCACTTGGAGGACATCACTCCTCCAACGAAAAAACCTGAATGTGATCAAGCTACTGAAGCCCAGGAAGGTAGCAGGACACAAAGGAACTCCTCCCGAAGCGCTGAAAACTGATCCAGATATCTCAGTGGATATTCATACGCCATTATTGTAAAAGGTTTGGAAGGAAGGAAAGGTACTTACTGACTGGAAGAAAGACTACCTCGTCCGACTACCGAAGAAGGGAAACTTGAGTTTCTGCAATAACCGGGTGGAATCACACCCTTGTCCACGCAAAGTAAAATACTAAGTCGCGTCATCTTGGAGGGAATGAAAGATGCACTGGATACAGAACTCCACCCCACACCCAGAACAAGCTAGATTCAGGAAACGCAAGTCATGTGTTGATCAAATCGCAACTCTACGCATCATCATCACAGAACAAAGCATAGAATAACATTCAAACCACTCTCAGCATCAACTTCATCGATTTCGAAAAGGCCTTCCACAGACAGTGTTGACCGTGAAGTACTTTGGAAACTGCTTCAACGCTACGGCATGCAGTGCCACAAGTCATTATCAACCTCATTCAACAGCTTGTTATATGACAATGCCACGTGTCAGATGATCCACAATGGAACACCCAGCGAGGCGCTCGAAGTGAATACAGGAGTACGACAAGGCTGTCTGTCATCACCGATGATATTCCTAACTATAGTGGTTGACTGGATTATGCGTCAGATTGTTGGGGTCGAAGTTTCAGGAATACGCTGGACGACCGATAGGAAGACTAGAAGACGTGGATGTCTCAGATGATATGTCTGTCATACAAACTCGAAGACTTGCAAACGAAAACCAACTAACTGGCTGAAGAGGCACAGCGGTTATGACGCTCGCCGATCATGCACATGGTTCGGGGTTCGATCCCTGATATCTATGGTCGGCCTGCAAAATTTGGGCTACTGATATCGCATGCTGAAAATTCCATACTTGTACCAAAAATACAGTGTGGAATCAAGCTGCAATCAAAAATATAAGAAAATAATACAAGGACTGCAGGTGAACGCAGAGAAGACGGTGATGAAGATAACCAATCAACAGCAACAACAACCAGCACCAGTCACCATCAGAGGGAGAGATTTAACAGAGGTCAACCCCTTCACTAATCCAGCTAGGAAGCAAGATTTCAAATACAGGCAGTCGGAACAGATGAATATGTCAACATCAGCCAGAATAGGGAAGGCAAGATACGCCTTCATCAACCTGAAACCAGTCTGGAAATCTTCTGTTGTCACTCAGTATGAGGAACAAGATCTGCATTTTCAACACCAGTGTCAAGTCGGTTCTGCTATACTGGTCAGAAACTTGGCGTATCAAGAAAGGAATTTCAAACAGGTTGCAGACTTTCACTAACAGCTGCCTTCGCTCCATACTGAAGATCAGATGGCCAGAAAGAATAAACAACAAGAAACTCTGGCTGGGGATAAACCAACAGGCGAGAGCCGATCGCTCAACAAATATGTAGGAGAAAATGGAGGTGAATTGGGCATACACTGAGGAGGCCGCCGAATGACATCGCACGTCAGCCCTTCACTCAGTGTAATCCAAATGGGAAGCGATGAGTGCGTATTCCTAGGGTGACATGGAGATCATGTGAGGAAGAGATGAGAGTGGTCAATCGTGGGCCCAGCTGAAGGACGGTAGAAAACAGAACAAAGTGGAGATGTGTTGTTGAAGCCCTATGTTCCACTCGAAACGAAAGGGAATAAAAATAATGGTAAATAACAACTGAAAACTACTGACGTATAGCTTTCATCACATGACATTAGATGCTGACTTTCACTTTTTAAGTTGAAGGTATGCAGTCAAGCATCATCTGTGGATGCAATGATGAAGTAAGGCTTTGGGATTATAACATAGTACTAGTAAATCCTACTTATTTGTGGCCGGCTGAGATTTGGCCAGCTCCTGAGAGATTCTATTCGTCTAGAAAGGATGGGATTTCATCAGTGACATTTTAAACTTTTATCGTGAGGTTATCGCGTCATCACTATGATACATAGTGAAAGAGACTGGATTGATCACTGATGAAATCCTCTATGAAGTCACAGTCGATATGCGTTCCATCCGCCATAGTCTATCTTTCTTAAACACTTGTGCAGATAGAATTAAAGATGCACATCGCTTTTAGGTAAATGGCTCTAGTTCATATGATGTGCATTTGGTTGTCTTCTGTGAGTAGAGTTTACTCTGACCTCACGAGTTTCCAGTAGCAGACGAAGTCAAGCATCTACTATGTCATTTATCTTGCTGATAGTTATACCGAACGACATATTTCACACCTTTGTCCTAGTTCTACTAACTGACAGTTACTAATCGGTGCCTACACTTGAAGTAAGGTAAAAATCTGGTTTAACGATAGTGTTTAGTCTCGACACAATTAGCTACAAGTGGACCTGATCTCTAACGTCAGGGAACACTTCTTGACAGTCGTGTCCGAACACCAAGGAACCTTTGGTTGAAAACTAAATTTTGTGTATTTACCTCAGAATTGTCAGGCCAAATAATTGTTATGCCTCTTCACTGAACTCAAATTACCAATTCAAAATACTCAATCAAAAATTTGTGGAAGATACTCAGTGTATTATATACAGCAATACAAAGGTGAACCAAAAGGATCAAGAAAGTACAAATTTAACAGAACACAATAACTTTTTTCTCAAATCATATAGGAAACAGTACAAAGAGTTGTTATTTTACAAATTAATATGTTGCGAATTCAGTCACATCTACGTATTACTGGAGTTAAATCTTCTCTTTTTTCTATTTAAATACCGCTCTCTTTGACGTTTACTCATTCGTTCTAGGCGTTCATTCTTCACGCGTTCACGAAGTTCAGCTAAAAAAAGAAGTTGGACACAATAGAAATTGCAACAATAACAAGGTAATTAAGACATTCAACGTATTTCTCATCACAACAAAACAAATTTGAATGAATTATCGAGAAGAACTTAACCGTTCTGGATCTATTCCAAGGGATGGAAAACGTTGCTAGACTACTTTAACAGTTTAAAAACAATACGTTTGGATCAGTGACATAAAAAGTGAAAAGAGGTAACAAGATTACACCATCAAGAAACTTATCTGTATATCCCGCTAACAGCTACAACTATTACATTCCCATGCAACATAGATAGACTGAAACAAGTTCACGCTTCAAAGTTTTTCGTTGAAAGTTCACTGCTTGCATAAAAACAGTCTCAAGATGATATCAACAAAGAATAGTCTTCATGACAAGTGGTCCCTAGTTGTTTGGAATAGAATAATTAACAATCAGTTGCACAGCTTATTGACAGAAAAATTACTAAATGAATGATGATATTGGCAAGATGGTCAGTGATTATAATTCTCAATTTCATAAAATATCCTTAATAAGACGTTTAAAAGTAAGGAAAACACATAATTCAGTGAAGACACTCTTCTCGGCAATATCATTTACTTTAGCTGTACAATAGCAATTAAATATAATTTCTTCCAAGAATGCATTCAAGTAATTTTACATTTAACCTATGACTGTTAATCGAAATATAATAAACATTAGAAGTGAGTAGTTATAGATTAGGGATTTATACACTGGATCTTTTCAATAATTTCTAAGATTAGGAATGTCGTTGTTAGCACAGTGGTAGAATGCTCGCCAATCACGCAGGTGGTCTGGAGTGCAACCCTAGGCCGGCGCACTCCTTTGTCTCTCTAAGCCAGTAATAAGATTGGTAAAAAGGCAAGGCTGAGCATGAGGCTAGCGACTTCATCCTGTAAAAATAAATACCAGTACTACCGAAAATTCAAAGCTCTAGCTTGAAGCCCTACGTTCCACTGGGAACGTAAAGAAATATAATAATAAGATTAGGAAATGTGTTGTAAGACAAGCTGTTTAGAGAATGAATTGTTATCAAAATAAGCATGGAAGCAGAAAAGAGAATCGCATCAGACAAAGGCAGGCTTTTTTCAAGAAATGTTATTACAGTGAACTTGAACTAACAACAATTTCATTATGAACCAGAGGCGAAAGGCATACTGAGAATGAAAGGGATAAATTCCCCATATCTTCCTAATTATTCTTACGCACCTTTGATGGCTCTGATAAACAAAACTTTATCTGCATGACACGTTCATCCCATAAACTCTGATTAGAACTGCAAATTAGTCATAGTTAACATAAATGGTTGCATTGATTATTTGATGTGTAGTGATGTCAATCGGACACCTTAGAATGTATTAACAATATGTGCCCATAGTAAAACAAATGACAACTATTAAACATTAATCTAGTGAAAAACACTCACGAGTGTGAAGAAATACATTTCAGATTCCAGTTGTCATAGTAATATAAATAATAATCACGATGCAAATATATCAACTTGATCAAATCCAAATATGGACGGCACTAATGCAAGCCGCTGCCAAAGTGCCTTAAAGATCAATGCATAGAACTCTTCCCAGATTATTTTCTTAACCACATATTTTGTAAAACAACGTCTGCACTTTAGAAACCACAGAAGATTATCAGACATAACATGGGCTTTCACTTATAATTTTCAGAACAAAAATGTATTCTCTTTTTATTTCTCGTATACTAGTGAAAATCTCAACTAAAGATCATTATACATTATCATTCAAACTTTTTTTTATAAATGTTGTTTTCACTAAAATTGACTTAAAATATGGCTGTGACTTTAATATATTTCAGTCTATTTCAACGTAAATTACAAATACACAAGTATAATTTACTTTTTGTCACCACTGAGTTGACAGCTTTGAGAACTTACTGCATTAATGTTGATGAATATAAAAAATTGTACAGGGAGTATACTTTTGCTTACCTCGAGGAACAAAACGCACAGATTTCCCAGCCTCCAAATTTTCAATTTGTTCTTTCTGAATTTTATCCATAAAGTCTTTACGAAACTTTCTGTCTTTTTCTGTTGCTATACGCTGCTTCACTAAACGTAATGCCTCCATTATCTCTTTACGTTCATTATCATCCACACTTTCACGTAGCATTTTTCTAAGCTTCTGATTAACACAAATAAACAAATGCAGCACAGTGTTGATAAGAAAGAGAAAATACATATTTCATCGAATCTTATAGCAATTATTCATATCGCAATTTACTCTCATAATATGAATATAATTGAAGGAAAAAGTCCCTCCGTCTTATTCATTCTTAAACAAACCTGACATGGGGGATAGACCGCAGACACCTGTGACCAAAGACAACTAACCTTTTCCTTTCCCCCACTTTCACTGGTCGTGTCTCACAGTCATAATTCAAACGTAGAGAATTGCTGCGCACTACGCACGTGCCTTGATCGATAGTCGGATATCACGGTGTAAGTTGGCAAATGCACCTTTGATAAGCAACTGCTTATGTTTTCCTAATTAAATCACAATATTCTGAGTCCAAGGTTAACTAAATGTTTACTTTAGCAGCAACAAGATATATTATCAAACAGGTGAGGTTAGAAATCATAACCAAAGCTTGGTCAGTGCAGCTCAATAACAAAAATAAGTAATTCAGGATTTAAAGACCTTGGACTTTATATTCTTTAAAATATCGTTTCTTATTAAACAGACAGACGAAACACCTGCGCAATACTTCTTAACTGTCTTGCATAGAGAGAAAAACAATTTCACGTTAAATAATAACTCCACATATGTTCATTTTATATTTCGCATAAATGAACACAAAAAAGTGGAACAATACAACACTGTTCAGCTTGACTGGAAACCATATGCTAACTCTTGAATTACACAAAAATACTTGTTATCTCTGGATACTCGATAGGCGGTAGTCTCAGAAGGCTATCATAGACCATCGAGAAATTAAAATATACAAAACAAATATACAAGCCAACATCTCTAAAGAAAAACCCATCACTACCTCAAGTACATCAACAGTAATGAAGGTGAGATGAAAACTATACACAATTTTACTGAACTTATGAAATAAACCGCCTTCTAACCCTACTAGTTAGACTCTAATAATGATAATCAACAAGAAAGAAACGGGATTTGGTGCTAATTGACAAACTCAACACGTAGTTAACAAGAATGTAAATGTCTCGAAGACGAGCAGATAAACTGGTCAAGAAGATAAGTGAAACCACAGATTTACTGAATATTTACTTACATAGTCAAATCAATATCTAAGGTGTTAACTGATAAATGATTCATAACACGTAGATGACATAATAGAAATATAGCTTAGAAAAATCATTTTAAGTTCATTTACTCAACAATAGCCTTCTTATATAATTATGGCCGAATGATGTATCCAGTTTGATTAATTCCAAGTTTTTGTAGAAAAATATTTGAAATTCAGTAGCTGCTACCTATTTGCACCAATAATCTATTGCACTAGCTTTAAGATATACATCTGTGTTGGAATAGGATGGCTCTAAAGACAACAATGTGGAAAACAGTTACCATGCATAATAGACAAGTGAACTACTTTTTCGATTTTGTAACTGTAGTCCGTGGCAACAAAAAATAAGTCTACCTCAAAGAAGAATATTTCAATAAATTCTGTTTAGCTTCTGAGCTATAAATTTTATCACCATAGTAATACGCAGGGCGAAGATAAACTTTAGGCACTTGAACGCACCAACCACATGATATAAACGATTTTCGCGTATAAGATACATATATTCATGGAAATGATGAATCAAAAAGCATGAAACTGTTATGCGGGATACCTTTACCTGAAGTGTGATAAAAATACCTCTCATTTTTGGACTGGAGTTTCAACAGAGTAATTTAACCACATTCTATGCATGTAATTATCTGGGCCTTCTAAACCTAATAATAACCCTAATTTTTCCTTCGCCTAACCCTAGAGTGAAAAACCCCTAATCTAACTCGAACCAACTCTAATTTCGCCCTTATTAAGTTACGCTAACTCGTCCTTAGCCTAAAACTCAATATAATATTTGCCATATCTAAGCTGAAACTCGCAAGATATCCAATTTGATAACATAACACTTCATTAGGCGTATTTTATCCATGATTACAATATTATTTACATCTTTTCACTAAGTTTCTCACTACGCGCTTCAAATTCTTTGCTGCGGTAGCACTCCAACGGTGTTTAAAGTTTAAATTGGACATACGCAGGTATGCAATAGATACAATCCAACGTAGAATATGATGACGGATCTGAAATCGAAATAGTTTCAAGTTGCAAGGGGACAAAGTAAATAGCACTTGTATGAAAAAGTCAATAAGTCACATGCAATTACAAAATCATAATAAATCCATACAATCTGGGGAAGAAAAGTCGATAAGTCAGTTGAAAGACGTAGAGTGTGTTTGGCGCATTACCAGTACAAAATTAGTATGCACTAAACAGATAGTAAAACTCAAGTGAATAGTTCATCATGAAGTAATAAATACGTGAAATTAGTGGAGTTATATAATGAGAAAAGAATGTCGGTAATGTTAGACATGCATATATATATATATATATATATATATATATATATGGGAAATCCAATAGTCTGGAGGTTGAGCAAATGAAGAGGATAATTGCACGGATGACTAGAACTGCTTCTACTGAGATAAAAAAGGTAAAAAGAAATCTCTGCGAGGAAGATAGTATTTATTCCCAGGATGATCGAAAGGCGAACGGCGTCTTAATTCTTTCTGAACAGCGTGCTAGCTTGGTTGGTCATCTAACCACTTAGGTTATCAATAAAGGTGCAGATGGACTGTACGCCACAATATAGAATTCAAAGCCTCTGTAGTGCTTCCGTAAAGAGAAAGAATGTAATGGCTGCGAGGTCAATTACATAGGTCAAACTAGTAGATCGGGATCAATTAGATTGTTGGAACTTAAAAATTTAGCTAGACCAGGCTAAGTTAACCGAGGAAAAAATTGGTCATTGCATTGCATTCACTTGCATTGAACCACACAATAGAATGGGACAGTGTGAGTAACACAGATGGAGAGTGTTTAATCACCGAAACTATTAGTTCAACACTGCATACGTGTAGTCGAAACGACGCAACGCCTATACTGGAGATATGGAAAGTGGCAACAAACAACAGAAAGAAGGATAGACATATAAGACAAATTGTGAAGTCGTGTGACTAAACTGATATGATTGTGAGAGATAACTTACGTTCGAAACGTTATTAATACTGCATCACTGAGTGTCATTTCAAATAAACTTGTCTAATACGGAATTACATTTTGCCACAGCACCCAATTTCTACACTTACATTAATATTAAATATCAGGGTTAATTAGTGATTGAATGCCAATAAAGTAAATATAAGAAACAACAAAATTAGGCAAATTTCGATCCAGCAACATGTCCGTCATAAAAATTCGTGGCTCATTTTGAAGTAGCAAGTAGGTAAGAGACATTTAATCCTGACTGATTTTTATTGATTTTCCAACTGGTATAACTTTGTGAGGAGTCTATCGGTTTCAAACTAGTTTTCGCTACAAGCGAAAACATAAATCCAATCTAAAAATGAGACGACTGTTCTGAGTCTTTTTCTTTCGCTCTGTCTGTGCTACTAATTTTAGTTGCAGTATACTTCCACAAAAACCTTTCAGTAAAAAATTATTTTTAGAAAATACAAATATTTTAAATTAAAGTGTGTAACATACTGTTAAGGTTTGTTTTCTTTCATCTTCCAAAAATTCCCAATCATTCAGATAACAAATACCATTAACTCTAGGATCAAATCTTGGATCATTCCTTCGTTTCTGTTTACTTTTCAGAGATTGAATGCCATCCTGATACACACTTTTGAGATTTTCTGACAGGTATAACGTCTTCTTTTTTAATTGTTTGAATGATGTTTCTACTGGTGCATCATCATCAACATTATCATCACCCATACTGGAAACAAAAATGAAAGTATCTTAACTATCAACCATTAAATATTAGTATTGGAATATGAAGGAATACTTCCTTTACAAGTCAAGTGTCAATTAATTCAACTGTATAATGTTTAGGGCTAAAAAACCAAGCAACTGATAGTAATATTAATTTAAAAGCACTCCATAACATACTTCTAGTTAATACCATCAAACACGAATTATTATTCTCCTGAAGTATTAAGTAAATGATTGCACTAAGTTCTATTCGCCATCATTTTCTGTTATTTGTGAAACATTGTATCAGTGATCCACTAGTCAAAGTCATAAAAGCATTCGCTTTCAATATGATCAATCATTAGTTGCATAATACTAACCATTAAGGAACTGATAGGACGCCACACGACAGGTAGTTACTGATCGGTGAGTTCAAAACACTGGAAATATCTCAGATTTACTGTAATTGTAACATCGAAAGTAAGCAGTCATATATGATGTTACTTCGTCAATGGTATTTAATCAAAATACCAACAGAGATTGTGCACTTTTTTCCAAGTGAAATCAAAGAAAAATAAAACTTAAATAAGAAAATTTGTAACAATAGCCCGCTCTCCGATTCAACTAGTCTTTACTTGACAGAAGTTTAGATGTTTGCGAAAAGACAACTGGATACCAAAATAAGCCTAATGAATATAAAAATTTTGGAAAATGTGGCAGTTATTGGGAGCGAAAAGGGTGAATATGCATATCCAGTGTTAAGCGACGAATGGGGGACTCACAGTCAACCTAAGGGAGATGCGAATCCTCGGCTCAAGAAAAATAGTGTACATAAGCCATAGGAATATGTATTGTTTCCAGAAAACCAAGAAAACACCGCTGCTCTACTGCAATGTGGATCAGAACTTAACCCATAGGCTCAAAAATTAATTCGTTGAGACATCTTGTTTCAGCAAATTTGGTCTTTCGCGCTAACGTTTCATTCTTAAAGAACAGTCTTGTCACAAAACGGCACATCAGTCTTAAAATGGTTACTAAATGCTCAGCCATTATGACTGTGTTAAGGTAGTAAAGAAAACTGCATTCTCCCAACAAAATGACTGGAAATGTATACCTGTCATCATCATAATGGGAGGGTGGGGGAGCAGCAACAGTATTCTAGCAACCTCCTGAGTACTTATTCGACCAACATTTAACTTTTTCCGGTATGCATCTTACAAGTTACCACATCTTTGTTCTTAACCAATGGTCAAGTTAATTACAGGTGTCCAGTGACTGGTGAACCTACTACCAGGACCATTTGTGTTGGCTTCTCCTGAAACGCTATCAACAATAAACTGAGGCTCTACAGTGACACATACTGTAAGGTTGAAATTATGTCACCAGATCAACACAGCCGACGAAATACCCAGTAAGCGAATTTTCTGGACGTGGGAAATATCAATCAAAGCGTGGGCAATTCATTCTTCCTGAAAAATGTGTATTTTCGGCCCCCGAGTGAAACAATTAGGACCAATACGAAGTATACTAGTATAGATAATTATGTAAACTACATTGAAACTACCCGAAAACCCTTAACAAATACTAAGAAATTTCCCTAAAGTTGCAACTTTGATTGATATATTTAAAATCCAGAAGACTTACTTTAAAGTACATACTTAGTGATAAATACAAAACAGTTTTGTTCATTAGACACGTGACATTATTTATTAAATAATGATTAGAAATGTTTTGGGCTTACCTAATACACGGAAATACCAGCCGACAAAGAGTTAGCAAAACGAATGCATGTAGCGCATAGTTTATTTACCGTACACCCAATATCCAGTATTTTGGCTGAACTTATTCGGCACGTCGGTCGAAATTTTTTCGGTAAATTTTTTGTGTATAATTTTTAATAAGATTGTTTTATATCCTTTCTGGCCTTTGGGGTACTTTAGTTCAGTGAATTCATACCCTCTACTGTTTCAGCTGTACTGTGCGCAATAAGGGGAAGTACCTCGGATTATTCTGCAGGAAGAGTAGAGATAAGAAACTGAGGACGGGCAGGAAAAGCGAGTATACAGCAGTTGATATTTAAATATCATGTATGAAAAAAAGAGTGATATAATCATTAGAAGATAGAATACAAAGATGTAGAATGAGTAATAAAGTTGAGATATTTATAATATTACAGCAGTACCCCGCGCATTTTTGAACTTATGACTTCATACTCCTCCGGTTTCACTACAAAGCCTTAAGATTTCTGTTTCACTATCAAATATTGCTAATCATGTCTTTTTATTTACATGCTGTCCTTTGAGTATACTTGGTATTCTCAGCCACCCAAAATCTACTGCCATGATTCATGGTGTACCACTAGCGGATGGAAGTAGTAAGCGAGTTGATCTCTTTAGGTTGACTGTGTCGACGAATCCCATCTCCAGGTGGGCTAGTAGCCAGTGTCAGTGCTGTACAGTATGAGCATATTTTCACTTGCATCTCGGTTGCCACTTCTGGAAAACTAAGATTGGAAACATTCACAGTTTTTACCTTTCGTTGTACTCCGTGGGATACAGCAATTTCAAGTCAGTTGCCATTGAAGTTGCAGTAAAGGGAGTTAAGGAAATTTGTAGGTCCATTTAAACTTCAGACATTTTGTCTCCTGTAATCAAAATATTTATTTCTACAGATAGACATGAGGGGGAGATACGGTGATCAAATTGTCGTTTATGCGGTCCAGATGGTGGCGACAACATTATGTTGAGTTAATGCGCCCGTACTGATCCCCGAGACCTTGTTACTTATATGCGTAGTTGAGTAGATCAAAGCATCTTATTCTTCACAAACGTTCAGGTGGCGCCAGAGGAAAGCCTGGATAAGAGTTCAGGTCGGGTCAGTCTAAGCAGTTGACAAGTGGTGTTGCAAAGCACATATACAGGAAGACAAGTGACCACACAATAGTAATTGGGAGGACAGAAAGAAAGGCACACCTCCAGTCTTCTCAACATGTCCCAAGAAACCAGCGTCTTAAGGAGACAAACGTCTTCAATAGCTCTACTGCCAGACATACCATCAATACGAGTTATAGGCTGGATATCGCAAAATCCCTTAAAATTATCAGCTGTCAAAATAGGTCAGTTTCTCTCAGGTTTGCCGAAGCGATCTCTATCAAACGCCTGGAGCCTAATTAATATTTTCAGAAAAAATCACTTATCAGCCTTTCCCTATCGTGGTAACTGCGTATCATTCCTCCATTCTTCTTTCTTTTGGATACGTAATCTTTTTGATCCAATTCATAAGTTACCTCCTCCTTATTACGTAACTCCTTTACCATTATACGCAAACATTGACTCTCTGTGAACTGGCATCATATGAAAATTGCAAGTATGTTAAAAATATTTTCGTACATAAGCTTAGTAATGTCTCTAGGCTTTAGATGGCTTATGAGAAGCCGTAAAGTAAATCATGGTACCGTCTTATTCCTCCCAAAACATTGTGCCTACTCTATTCAAACTCACAATAGGGAATAAACGTGTGAAGTCACGTTCGTTATTTCTGGTTGTGGCCAACAGATAAAAGACTTTAAATAGCTTCAGCGTGATAAAGTAGGAGTGTATTTATCGTCTAGGACACTGACTGCTTCTGCAGCTGAAATGAAGCAGCCGATTTGCAGGTATCTGAGAATTTGACTGTTGCCATTTGATCGCCTAACTTATATTTACCTTTACGGTAATTCTGCGACATTCAGTTTTTCTCGGTCTAAAGACGGACAAGACCCCTATTTAATCATCCAAACGGTGAAGCACGGCTACTGCGGCGTCCCTGACACTCTTACCAGAAGCCGGAAGGCGATTTACTTGCTACTGATCCGAAATGCCGATACTTTAAAGCTTTCTCGTCGTACCAATGCGCTCTTTACTACAGAAACTGCATCTGGCGTCATGTTTCAGGTACAGCATGCTGAAATGCATCACACCTGTATCCTGCATTCCTTCATTTTCTTTCTCATATTCTTTGAATTTCCCTCACTTGAATCTGATACTATAGGTGAACTGCTGTCACTACGTGCATATGTAAGATTTTATTAACCGACACTTGTCAGCCACGTCTCATTAACCGTTAATGCCCAGCTCTCGCTACGCTCGGGCCCACGCTGTTCCTTGCAGTTTTTCAGAAACGCTTAGTTATAACGGACGCAAAAACCAAAACACTGATTGGCCGCTTGAGATTTCTTTATTGTTACACCAACATATAAAAATAATAACTGAGCTAAGGTCTGTGAACAAATAATAATAATAATTTTTATTTCTGTAACAGAAACCAGCCATTTTTACAGGCATGAACATATGTACATTTATGAAAACTTATAGAATATATAATATGATTTGTTAATTTAGAAATAAGTTGAATACTGGTAAATGTGAGAGAAACATTTAAAATGAAGTGTACAAATAAGGAAATAGGTATAGCGTCAAATCTAAACTGTGATTGAAAAAAAAATACATGTCAATTTCACGCGGGAACCATAAATGGTTGCGTTAGTTGAGGAAGGTAAGTGGCATTTCTGTACAGGTGCTGACGTATTACATAAAAGATGCAGAATAAACAATAACTATCAGTAAATCATTCAGAAAGAGTTTTAAAGTCTATTAAACTTTAAATTTACCCGTAAGTACATCATATTTGTGACATTTCCAGTTGTTTATGAGACCCACTTTGAATTGTCAGCAGATTTTATAATAATAATAATAATAATTTATTTTCATATAAACATAAATTTACATGAAAATGCATGCCATTTTTACAGGCACGATCAAGGATGATATAATGTCAAATCTTAAATTGTCTACAAGTTAATAATGTCTCAACAGTTAAATATTTGATATATATATAAATACACATTGTCTGAACTAGGCTGTATAGTTATTGAATTGTACAATTGTCCTCCAGGTTGAGCGGGAAAATCGACTTCGTTTCGTTTTCATCCCGTGGTTGTAGGCATACGATAATCAACCAATATTGAGGTAAGTACAACGTTTACAAGGAATTGGAAGCTTTTTTAGAAAAATTAAAGTGCTGTGGTGTAACATTAAAGTGTAATAGATTAAGTGAGTGAAATATATCATTAATAAACACATTTATATAGAAAACAGAATGGGGAAGTAATTAATCCTTAGGCCGATGATCCCGTTATTACAATAATATTATTACAATAATAAATCATAATATTACTTCTGACGGTTTACTGCTGACTTCTTTCTGAACAGCGACCGATGAGACGATGACTGTCGTATTGATGCCTCCGCGAAAATTGGGGAAGTTGATTTTGAGCAAACAACCATGAATTGATCGTTCAATCTTCAACTGCATTGACACTCCCCGGCAAAAAAGAGATCCATCCCTTTTTTCTATCACGACCAATACACGTTGACTTGGATGCCATTGCGAGAACCTGGGTCACACGGACAGAGCTGAAATGGAAAACAAACAGAAAAGCCAACACACCACAAGCATACTCACAGCACAATCTCACACATCGCTGACGACCTGCGCCTTCCAGTTAAAGGCATCCTCTTGACACTCTTGCAACACAATCGCCACTTGCTAGAATGACTCTTGCAGAATGCAACGTGACCATAGCACCACCTCACGATACTCTACGCACATCCTCTTATCTACTCACTACCAATTACCACTGCAATCGCTTGTCACTCATTCTGCCTCAGTTCTAGTAACGGTGACGCATGCGAGCCTCAGTCGTTTACACTCCCTTTCCCCGGCGTGTGGGACCACAGCTAACAATTATCTCCGTGTGCATTTCATTCTCAGCAATAGCCTCCCCGGCGTATACGACCCATCTGCTGTCCTTAACATCAATCAATTCATTCACGGATGTAGAAGACTCGAAACAACTTCAGAAGTAATCACGACGAAAATTTTAACAAAATTATGCAATAAAAACAAGGTACGAAAACAACGAGTAAACACAATGAATCCAAAAACACCAATTGATATGACACACCACACATATATACAAACAGTACACACAAACTCGCAGATCGTGTCTCGATGGAATTCCTTTGAAGAATTGCAGGACTTACACCAGTACGCCTACAACCCTTCACAGGTTGACGATTGTAAGTTGTGGAATGTCCGGACACAAACAAGATTAACCAACAATTACAATAATTGGAACTCACACAATTATTTAACACAAACATATGTACAATCATCACATCAAATGTGGTGGATTCTGCCTTGACAAACTACCCTTGAAGAACTGTAGGACTTACAGCAGTACGCCTACATTCCTTCTCAGGTTGATGATCCAAGTGGAAGTCGTCCGGACACAAACAGAATTACCAACAGCTAGATGACAGATGATATCAATTCAGTATATACAATATGAACATATGTACAAAATCACACACCAAGCACATTGGACTGCTCATTGATGCGCTACCCTTTGAAGAATTGTAGGACTTACAGCAGTACGCCTACAACCCTTCTCAGGTTGACGCTCTAGGTTGGAAAATCGTCTAGTGTTTCATCCTCCGACTCTCGACTCTCAGCACCTTCCAGTAGACACAGTTTTCTAATATCTCGCACCAACATTCCACAACTTGTTCTCACCTCAACCGTCCTCACCAATCCATCACCACTACAGATTAGCCTTACTACCACTCCCAAAGGCCACCTACCTGTGGCACATTTATCTGCTACTAATACTATGTCACCAACCTTTAAGTTTCGGCACAACTTTTTCCACTTGTCTCTGGTTTGCAGTGTTAGAACATACTCCTTTAACCATCTTTTCCAAAATATATCTTTCATGTGCCTGGCTTGTTTCCATCTTTTAATCGTAGGTATTCCTTCCCCGCTTGAGTCCTCTATGCCAGGGTTGCCTCTCAATAACAATAATTTATTTGGGGTTAACACATCAAAATCCTTGACGTCGTCCCTCACAGGTGATAACGGCCGGTCATTTAATATTCGTTCAGCTTCACAAAAAAATGTCTC